TTTAGTAGAGACGGGGTTTCACCATGTTGACCAGGATGGTCTCGATCTCTTGACCTCGTGATCCACCCACCTCGGCCTCCCAAAGTGCTGGGATTACAGGCTTGAGCCACCGCGCCCGGCTAAATTTATTTTTCTTAACTTTTGTGGATATATAATATGTATATATATTTATGCCATATATGGCATATTTTGATACAGGCATCCAATGTATAATAATCACATTAGAAGAAATGTATCCATTACATCTAATATTTATTCTTTGTATTACAAGTAATTCAAGCCTACAATTTTAGTTATTTTTAAATATACAATTAAATCGTAACTGACTACAAGGTCAAATTTTCAAACATAAATCTGTACATGTCTGAGTCTTGAATAAATCTTTTTAAAAATTTAATATATTTTTCTTTGAACACGTGGCCTTTGCCTGCAAGCAAATATGAACTGTTACTATTGATTTACATAGTGTTAAATATACACATCTATTAGTCTAAAGATAAACCTTAGGTGTAAATAAATTATGGAGTAAGTGTGTTTGTGTGAGTATAAGTTTATAACTATTTTTAGCAGAAAAAAGCAATATTGGGACAAAATAAATCGTTTTAAGAAGGTGTCTAATTTACTAGAAAACAAAAAGTCTCAAAAATGCTTAAAGCAAATTTATGCTCTATGCTTTTATATTGAATTTATTACCATATTATTTTTTGGCTTGTGATTCAGCATCTCCACATGGAAATTCTCTGTTTTAACATGACTGGTACTCATGCTAGACCCATAATTTTCTTTTTTTGTTGTTTGTTTAATAAGTTTTTTTTTTTTTTTTCATATGGAATCTTGCTCTTTTGCCCAGGCTGAAGTGCAATGGTGTTATCTTGGCTCATTGCCACCTCTGCCTTTTGGGTCTAAGCAATTCTGCCTCAGCCTCTCAAGCAGCTGGAATTATAGTGCCCACCACCATGCCAAGCTAATTTTTGTATTTTTAGAAGAGGCAGCATTTCATCATGTTGGTCAGGCTGGTCTTGAACTCCTGACCTCAGGTGATCCACCCACCTTGACCTCCCGAAGTGCTGGGATTACAGGCATTAGCCACCACCCCTGACCTGTGTAATAGTTTATGAAGTATTCGCTACGTAAGCTGGTCGTATAAGAATGACTTTTTAAAAAATTTTATTCTTGGCTCGGTGCGGTGGCTCACGCCTGTAATCCAAGCACTTTGGAGGCCAAGGCAAGTGGATCACCTGAGGTCGGGAGTTCAAGACTAGCCTGACCAACATGGTGAAACCCCGTCTTAAAAAAAAAGAAAAAGAAAATTTTATTCTTCCAGAAGCTATTGGTATTTGGTTAGATGAGTAAGTTCTTCAGTGTTGATGTATGAGATCCTGATGGACTCATCACCTAAGCAGTATACACTGTACTATATATGTTGTCTTTTGTCCCTTTCCCTTCCCACTCTTCCTCCAAGTCCCTAAATTCCATTGCAGCCTTCTTATACATTTTTGTCCTCATAGCTTACCTTCCATATGTCAGTGAGAACATATGATGTTTGGTTTTTCATTCCTGAGTTACTTTACTTAGAATAATAGTCTCCAATCTTGGCCGGGTGCAGTGGGTGATGCCTGTAATCCCAGCACTTTGTGGGGGTGAGGTGGGCAAATCACAAGATCAGGAGTTTGAGACCAGCCTGACCAACATGGTGAAACCCCATCTCTACTAAAAAATCCAGAAATTAGTTGGGCATGGTGGTGTGTGCCTATAATCCCAGCTACTCAGGAGGTTAAGTCATGAAAATAGATTGATTCCCAGGAGGTGGAAGTTGCAGTGAGATAAGATCATGCCACTGTATTCCAGCCTGGGCAACAGAGTGAGACTTCATCTCGATAATAATAGTAGTCTCCAGTCTCATCCAGGTCATTGCAAATGCTGGCAATGCATTCTTTGTTAATGGCTGAATATTATTTTCTCCCACTCTGTGAGTTGTCTGTTTACACTGCTGTTTCTTTTGCCATGCAAAAGTTCTTTAGTTTAATTAGGTCCCAGATATTTATCTTTGTTTTTACTGCATTTGCTTTGGGGTTTTGGTCATAACTTTTTTGCCTAGTCAATGCCTAGAAGGGTTTATTTGACGTTATCTTCCAGAATTTTTATAGTTTTAGGTCTTAGGTTTAAGTCCTTATTCCATCTTGAGTTGATTTTTTTTTTAAAATAAGGTGAGAGATGAGGATCCAGTTTTATTTCCCTACATGTGGCTAGCCAATTATTCCAGCACCATTTGTTGAAGAGGGTGTTCTTTCTCCACTTTATGCTTTTGTTTGCTTTGTTGAGGATTGGTTGGCTGTAAGTATTTGGGTTTATTTCCAGGTTCTCTATTCTGTTCCATTGGTCTGTGTGTCTATTTTTATACCAGTACCATGCTGTTTTGGTGACTATGGCCTTATAGTATAGTTTGAAATCAGGTAGTGTAGTACCTCCAGATTTGTTCTTTTTGCTTAGTCTTGCTTTGGCTATGTGGGCTCTTTTTGGTTCTATATAAATTTTAGAATTGGTTTTTCTAACTCTGTGAAGAATGATGGTGGTATTTTGATGGAGATTGTGTTGAATTTGTAGATTGCTTTTGTCAGTATGGTCATTTTAACAATTTTGATTCTACCCATCCTTGAGCATGGGATGTGTTTCCATTTGTTTGTGTCATCTATGATTTATTTTGGTAGTGTTTTGTAGTTTTCTTTGTAGAGGTTTTTCGACTCCTTCATTAGGTATATTCCTAAGTGTTTTATTTTTTTCAGTGATTGTAAAAGGGGTTGAGTTCTTGATTTAATTCTCCATTATGTTGCTGTTGCTGAATAGAAGAACTGCTGATTTGTGCACATTGATCTTGTCTCCTGAAACTTTGTTGAATTCTTTTATCAGTTGTAGGAGCTTTCTGGAGGAGTCCTTGAGGTTTTCAAGGTAAATGATTATATCATCAGCAAACAGGGACAGTTTGACTTCCTGTTTAGTGAAGTGTCTGATTGCTCTGGCTAGGACTTCCAGGACTATGTTGAAGAGAAGTGGTGAGAGTGGGCCTCCTTGTCTCGTTCCTGTTCTCAGAGGGAATGCTTTCAACCTTTTCCCATTCAGTATTATGTTGTCTGTGGGTTTGTCATAGATAGCTTTTATTACATTAAGCTGTGTCCCTTGTATGCCAGTTTTGCTGAGAGTTTTAGTCATAAAGGGATGCTGGATTTTGTTGAGTGCTTTTTTTTGCATCTATTGAGATGATCATGTGATTTTTTTTTTTTTTTCTGAATCCTATTTATGTGGTGTATCACATTAGTTGACTTGTGTGTGTTAAACCATCCCTGCATCCCTGGTATGAAACCCACTTGATCATGATGGATTATCTTTTTGACATGCTGCTGGATTCAATTAGTATTTTGTTAGTGATTTTAGCATCAATGTTTCTCAAGGATGTTGGTCTGTAGTTTTCTTTGTTGGTTGTGTCTTTTTCTGGTTTTGGTATTAGGGGGATGCTGGCTTCATACAATGAATTGGGAGGGTTCCTTCTTTCTCTATGTTGTAAAATAGTGTCAAAAGGATTGGTACCAATTATTTGAATATCTGGTAGAATTCTGCTGTGAATCTCTTTGGCTCTGGAATTTTTTTTTGTTGGTAATTTTTAAACTACCATTTTAATCTCACTACTTGTTATTTGGCAATTCAGGGTATCTAATTGCCTCCTGATTTAAGCTGGGAGGGTTGTATTTTTCTGGAATTTATTCATCTCTTCTAGGTCTTCTAGTTTATGTGTGGAAAGTTGTTCATAGTAGCTTTGAATGATTTTTTATATTTCAGTTGTGTCAGTTACAATATCTCGTTTCATTTCTCAATGAGGTTGTTTGTATTTTCTTTCTTCTTTTCTTGGTTAATCTTGCTAACGATCTATCAATTTTATTTATCTTTTCAAAAAAGCAACTCTTTGTTTCATTTACCATTTGTGTTTTTTTGTTTGTTACAATTTTATTTAGTTCTTCTCTGCCCTTGGTTATTTCTTTATTTCTGCTGGGTTTGGGTTTCGTTTGCTCTTGTTTCTCTAGTTCCTTAAGGTGTTACCTTAGGTTGTCTGTTTGTGCTGTTTCAGACTTTTTGATGTAGG